TGGCTTAGGGCCGGGAACAAAATAGAAGTTTTAAGTTTTGATCAATCAGTTAAAGGCAAAATATTATAATGATATACATTTTTTTAATAACTAAACTTTACACAATAATAAATTATCTAAAACCTTCACATTTACTTTTCTATTAACTGTATCTGAATAATAAACTTGAGTGAAATACATACCTACAGTGCATTATTTATATAAGAGTGGAGATAAAAAAATTACAATAAAATTGTATTTCATTTTAAATGTTCATCAAAAGTTTAACGGATTTATCTATTAATGTGTAAATGTAAGTAGGGCTTTTCTACAGTCAGGTAACCTTGTACTTTGGCTTGTACCTACTTAACAACAGGTAACCCTTAAGTGATTGACACATGTCCTTTTTCTTTTTTAAGTAAATAAAAAATCGAATAAATGCATGTTAGAAATACTAAAATACCCTTAGTAAAATTAAAGAAAAAACAATATAAATTGTTAATTAATTTACATAAAAGGTGTTAGAACTTTTCACATCTTATAAATTTGACCTAAACATCTTATGAATCTCAAAGAAACCACCAAATATGATTAAATTGCATTTCAACTTATATAACTCGATTTTTTTTAATTAATTCCTCCAGATTTTGTTGAACCCTAACTATATTCCTCAAGATTACAAAATTCTAAAATATCAAATTTATCTGATCAGAGACATTGAATTCGAACCCTAGCCCCAAAAATCACATTTCTCATCTCCGGTCGTCTACGCCCGTCTCTCATTGTCCTCGCTTCTCTCCGACCCATCTCCGCCTGTCTCCTTCCATCTCCGGTTTTCGTGGGGCGTCTTTGGCCCGTCTACGCGTAACTCCGCTGCCCGTTTCGCGTCGTCTCCGTCTGCCTCCTCTCGTGTCTATTCGTCTCCGGCGTTTTTGGCCGGCTACGATTGCCTACTCCTCCGCCCGTTTCTGGTTGTCGATTCGATAGCAGATCCGACTGTCGTCGGCCGACGTCTATGTCGGAGATGTATTCTTCCTGATGTCGTCCCGGATTTGTTCCCCTGCCTTTGTTTTGCAAATTT